CATTAACATTTTCATCAAGGCTATTTATCATGTCCAGGAAAACTCACAAACCTCGAAATTCAATAACTATTGTCATCACCATTCCCTAAGGAAATCCCAGGCATGTGGGATTCATACACACCTGGCTTCCCATGTCCCTGTGTGGATTGTAATGGTGCAGGGTTTGATGAGTGACAACAACAAGCAAACACAACTCTTATTAATTGTACAATGGTTGTTTCTATATGTCATTGTTTTGTAATGGGGATAGGCTAATGCTTTAAATATATAAATGGTCAATACTGAACACATCATCATTGCTATTTTTTTATGCAGGACGAAACCTTAAAAAGTGACATTTCTCATACTAGAAATGGTTTTATTGGTCTACTGAATATTTTGGTTCTGAAAGCATAAGAAAAATAACATAATAAAACAGTATACCTTCTTCTACTCCAGCTATGCAATTGGTAGGGAAAAAACCCCAGATGCTTCAGCTAAAACCAGAGGCAGAAAATCAAGTTGGGGGAAGAAGGGACCAAGAAACAGATAATAAATCTATCAGGAGTGTTTCCGGGTCACTAAAACTCATTATATTTTCCCCCAAAGATCAAAAGGCCATAAAAAGGGGACCCTAATCTCTTCAGGGGATGAAAATTAAATGTCTACAGAGTGAGACAGAGAACGTAGGCAAGAAGAGGCAGGCAGGTATAAAAAAATGTCACGCGATTTTTGTCTTTTCCCATTTGATTGTGACGTGGGTATACAGTCCTTTTCCCTGACTCTAAGGAAGACCACGGTATGGGCATGATGATTAATGGCTCCTTGGTCTAAGTGCTGGGAGCCATGGACAGTTGTGGGGGCTGTGACGACCTGGGGAGGACATGCCCCACTTCACGGGGGCAGCGTCAACTCCCCTTCAAGTCTAACAGATGGCTGCCTCCCGGGAATGCACGCCCTGCCCACTCTTCTGCATTTAAGAAAAGTAGAAATCTGGATTTTTCTTAAAACATAATATCACCTGATTTTTAACATGTTGCCTTGATTTAAAAAAAGTATGCTCGTCCAGAAAAACACATCTATGCGCCCGCTCTGCGCTACAGATCCCATTTGTGACCTCTGCTTTAAAAAAGCGATCTCCATGTAGTGGTGGTCTCTCAGTTCCGCTGTGATCTAAGAGAAGCATTGGTGGGGTCAGCATTACTGGGATGTTAGCATCAGCCCTATTTCCGACGAATATAAGGAATGCCACAGTGAGTCAGACCGATGGGCCAGTCAGTTCAATAGTTTGTTTCTCAGGATGGTACTAAGGAAACATTTGGGAAAGATTTAGAACTTAATCCTTTTGACTCTAGTCCTTGAAAGTTAGGGTAGTCCCACAGGCATTTCTAATTTTCCTGTTTTCTATTCATAAAATATCCCAAGTGCAGCGATATGATAATATAAACAACACGTCTCCTAGCTTTATCAAAGCTTAGCATCACAGTTGCTTCAGATATTTTTTTTTAATTTATAAAATAAAATGTAGACACTGTCAAGGTTCTTGGTTACCACTCCATCCCCAGAGGTTCTATCATCCCAAACTTCATATTAATTATGTCCATGAGTTTTCCCTAGCTTCAAATAGTGTTAATCTTCCACCCATTAGCTTAGTATAAAAACCTAAACTATTTATACAACCTGAACAACCTCTTAAGTTGTAGAAAAAACAAATCCAGAAATAGGGACCACTGACCTCATTTACGCTTACCACATAATTAAGTTTTCTGCTGGAATAATGATCTTTGTCCTACCCACTCAAGTTGGGTGGGATGACAATAAAATGCAATAATGAGAACAAATGTTCGGAACAAGATAAAGCGTTATCCACATGCAAGGTTCTAGCACTTTTATTAACAAATTCCTTATATGTCTTGCTCCCTTCACAAAGTACTAGTTTATTTTATTTGTCCTCAGGCAGAATTGAAGGCGTAGCCCCCATTCCTCCTGAAGAAGAGCTTTCCTTCCCAGCTTGATTTTATAAACTTTGATTAAAATGCTTCTCAGACTTTGTCTTCCCAGACAAAGAGGTAGAATTGTTTTATTTTTTTTCCCAAAAGGAAAATTAATCTGCAATTTTCCTAATTGTTTTTCTAGGCCTTTTCTATGTCTGTTATATATTTCTGGAGGCACAGGAGCCAAAGTTGCCTAGAGTATTACTGGTGCAAAAAGTTTTGCTTAGGTGAAAATTTATTTAAGTACTTTAACATAAGTAAACAAAACAAAACAGAACAAAAACCATATCAAAACTACAATGAAATACCACCTCACACCCATTAGGATGGCTCTTGAGGAAGAAAATTTTAATTTTATAAGATGAAAGAAATTCTGGAGATTGGTTATACGACAATGTGAATGTACTGAACTATACACTTAAAAATGATTAAGAGAGTAAAAAAAAGAAGCCCACCTAAAGTCTATAGCAGTAAGGGTCATAAAAAATTATGAGAACATTACAAAAGACTAGGCAAAAATCTCCGTCAGGCAGTATACACTATTAAGAAGAACATAGTTTTTGTGCTGCAAATGGAGGTTATCCAGAGTTCACCGTAGATCATCACCAACTTATTTTGCCAACAAGGTAATAAGACCCAACATATGCATTTGTTATCTCAGAACCTAGAACATTACTAAGCATTTACAGGTTGTCTGTAGGAAGGACTCAGTAAATATTTGTTGATGGACTGATTGACAGAAAGGATCATGGTTAAATGTGTAGCTAACACAGGTCCTAGTGTCACCATTTCCTAGCTGACTACAGCCTACGTGACTTCTCTAGGCCTCATTCCTGAGTTATTGTGAAGATAAAGTGGGCCATTTCTTAGTAGAGTATTGGGCTAGAAAAACCAGGGAAGGAGGTAGAGGTAAATATATAAGAAACAACTGGGATGACTGGTCTATGCCCCTTCACCATCATATCCATGTACCTCCAGTAGAGGCCAGTGCTTAGTAATTTTTCAGTAAATATTTACTGAATGAATTCATTAACAATAAGAAAAGGGCGGAATTCTGAATTCTGTTAAAATAAATTAAATAATTGCTTACTATATTTTAAAGACAAGGACTGTATACTCAATAGATCATGACAGATACCAGCATTCATTTCTGGGAATTGTTTAAGCTCTTTCAGACCCTTGTGGGTCTGTTTCGAGTTTATTTAGCACCTGCTATATTTCCAGCACAGTCTCAGCATCAGGAATGCACCATAAACAAAACACATCCCTGGCCTCCAGTTGCTCTCAGTCAAGTGGGAAAGACAATTATGGAAGCACGTGTGGGACTAAGGGTCACACTGGAGGCCTGCCAAGGTGGTGCAAGGGACAGTTCTGTCATCCCTGCTGGAGCGGAGAGTGGTTTTGGCGAGGGAAGACCCCCTGAGGGCAAGGCCTTGGAACTAGGTCGTGAAGAACAGAGGGGGCTACTCCACACAGAGAACGGAAAGAAGAGAGTGGGGACCAGATGTGCAAAGGCATGAAGTACAGGTGAGGGAGACAAAGCAACCAAATATCTTCAGGGGAGTGTAAGTTGTTTCCACAAAGCACAGAACGAAAATGGGGGTAAGAAAAGTAGCTTCACAGAAAACAGACGGGAGCCAGACGGCCTGGTGCTCATTTGCTTGCAGCGGAGAAGAGAGGAAAAAGCTGGGAGGGAAGGTCTGTAGATCTTGGCTTTAGCAAAAAGGATGGATATGAGAGATGTTAAGGAAGGCGAATTCAAACATGTTCACATCATTTTACTTGCTCTGTAAGTGATTAAAACCTGAAACCACCAGCCACATACACACTAAAGTTGTACCTGCAAGACGTTTCATTCTGGCATATTGCCTGAAAAAATCTATACTCTCGTTTAAAAGGCGAAGTGAGAAAGAGCAGACTCCGTGACTCAGCCTCAACAATCACTGCCGCTGCTGGCTTCCAGTGCATTTGCTTCCCGCTGAACCCGAGGAATTAACTTGGTTGGAATTCTATTGTTGGGCTTCAAATTGGAAACCAAAGTTCTCTTCCATGTAGATCAAGTTCCAGCATGGAGGGTTTTATTCTCAAGAACTGTAAGCCAGAGGAGCTCTGTAAAGAAGGCTGGTGCTCTGCTAGCACCAGGTCGAAAAGACACTAGTGACAGCCAAGTTGAGTGTGATGGATAGATAAGCCCAGCTGAGTGATGCCTGACAGTGAGGAATCTGGGTCCAGAGATGGAAATGAGATGCGGTGACAACCTGTCAGGGCAAGAGTTTTGTTTTTTTTTTAAATCTGTCCTGGGGTAACCTAGAAGAACTTGACCCTACGACCATGGGGCTGGCTCAGTTGGAAGGTGAGAAGATGAGAAACTCAATCAGATGATATGGAAGCTAAGCTGGAATCACCAGATTTTGGCAGGCTCTCTAAGTGCCCTGGAAACAACTCAGATGAGCTAAGTCTTCAGAAAGGCATCACATCTAAGGTGGTAGTAGTGAATTACTACCAGAAGGTATGTAGAATACTGCAAATTTCAATTACCTAACAATTATTACAAGCTGTGAATAAATCATTCATTCTAATACTAATAAACCACTGACAGTTCCTCTAGTTTCTCTCCATGTCCATATATACTGCATAGAATTCCAGTCATAATCTCTTTGAAACAACTTTGCCCAAGTAGTTAAAAAAAATAAAAATTACACCAAGGCTTTCCAAGGTCCACTCTCAAATCCTTGATTTTTATAATATTTAATCTGGGCTCACTCCCTCCTTCTTCCTGTTCTCTTAGACCCCTCCCCATACTGTTTCAAAAGCTTAAGACAGAAAAGTGATGTTGAAACACAAACCAATGCCTTATACTCAGCACAAGTTCATTTTATAAACCAGGTCGTTGGTTAAGGTGGTATAATTAAGTGCCCAACCCCCAAATGTTCACTGACAATTACTGATAATGAGAAGGGTCAGCACATCACTTGAGCAAAAGAAACTAACAAGCAAAAAAAAAAAAAAAAAAATCAGGCATCTCACCCAGCTCCACATCTTGGTCATCAGTGAGCACAAGAATAACGTTGGGCCGGATGTTTTTCCGCTCCTGCGGTACCCGTCCTCGGAGCCTCGGGGATCTGACGGCCGAACAGAGGCTCCCCAGCAACTCCGTGCCCAGGACGGCCAAAACCAGAGCCCAGCAAGAACGCTTCATTATGTTTGGTCCCATGTCGCAAAACTGACAAAATGTCTCAGCCTCCTGGTTTCTGCAGGTCTGAGCAGTCAGGGAAAAAGCGAGAGGGAGAGACTGAAATGAAATCCAAACCCAAACACAGTTGCAGAAAAAGGGCTTCAGCTAAGTGAGACCTGGCACACTCGCTGGCAGGGAACAGGCTGCACATGAGTCAGAAGCGGCAAACCCTCACAGGCGCTGGGTCGTTTTTTAAGCACTTGATTATTTTGCAAATTCACTTTTCTCCTTTATTCTCATTCCAACTTTTCTTATTTCAGTTCATTGCCAAAATAGCACTTCCAACACAGGGCTCGAATGCAAAAGCTTTCTGACAAGGGCTAATACCTTGAATTAGGTATCCTGGTTGAAAAATCAATTTCTCTACTCAGAGGTGTTCAGAACATCTGTAGATGGGGTCCTGGAAGGGAGAGAGAAAAAATACAAAGAAAACATCAGTCAAAGATTCTGATACAGGCTTTTGTCTGAAGTAGTCTCTTAAAACAGCATAATATATATTATTTATATGTAGAGTATATATAATATTAACACATGTATATTTTTTAATCTTCCCTCCAAAATGAAAAAACAGAAGGACACAACATTCAGAACTGCTGACAAATGACTCAAAAAACAAAAAACTTCATTCCATAATCAGCTCCATAGAACAGCGCTGAGTATCATCCCCATTTACACCCTAATAGTACATTTAACATTGTCCCCAAAACTAATGACGGATCCTGAAGAGCCAGCAGTGCCTGAGAAGCCACAGTGCATCCGGGGAGCACATCTGGGGGCATCTGGTGCGAGGGGGCATGTTGGGGGAGCGTTAACTCACCTGCATAAGATATTGAGTACTTATCAAGTAGAAGGAAACTCAGAGCTGTCATTTGTCATCTGCATTATGTCTCTCACTACCCAGGAGAGTTCTTTCTGCTGACAAAGGCTTCATAGGAAGGAGGACAATTTTTCCCAGCCTCTAAAAACCTCCTAACTGTGCTCCATCAATCACCAGGGGAAGAGGTGCTTCCTCCGAGCAAGGCTGGTCCCTCTGTCCAGCCCGTGTCCTCAGTGCGCTGGCGCCTAAGGGGACAGAGCCCTCCTTTGACTGTCAGCACCAGCCTCACTGTTATCGAGCCCCGGGTGCAGCGCCGCCAGCACAGAGGTTGTGCTTTGCTGCCGCAGATCTGATCCTGCAAAGCGAAGTGATTGATTGGCTCTGAGGCTGAGGGTTAGAGGCTACCCTCCCACATTAAAAAAAAATAAATAAAATCAGGAGGGAGCGCTGCAAAATCTTAGCCAGTCTGCACAAGGGGAGAGAGTCTGAAGGGGTTGGGAAATGCCCCTACACTTTGGAACACCAACCTGCTGCAAGCTTCTCTCTTGGACTTCGGAAAGATGGCAAAGGACCCATTAAAAAAAAAAAATCTGTCTCTAGGATGTCATGGGGGCGCGTCTGTTTGGGAATTTAGGCTGCCCTAAAATTAATTAGTTGGCAGCCCCCTTCATCAGCTCCTGTGTCCCCACACACCTGAGGGTCTGTATTTTTGATCTGCACAGTGAACTGGCGTCAGATAAATAAACATAAAGAATTAAGTGTGAGCACTGCGGCAGCCGGCGGCAAGGGCCTCCAGGGCTCCCTTCCTGCCTTCAGTGCGGGAGGGTAGCGTGGGGCCCGCGTGGGGCCATGCGGGAAGAAAGACTGTGTACTGTTTACCCCAGCCACACACAGCATTTTGTTTATGTAAACACACACACCCCTATTATTTTAAACTTTATGAGCTGTTTTGTAAACAGTTCTAATGCTTTTCACTCTGCAGTCTGCAATTACTGGGGGTGGGGGGAGAGGGAGAAAGAGAGAGAGAAACTCAATAAGAAACTGGTTTTTAAACAAAAATCTAGTGTCTGCAGCAAGGCAATCTTGACTACATGAGCAGAGCAACCAACAAGCCACCTCGGACTGTTCCTGTGGCTCTGAGAGCTCATGTGTAAGAGCTTTCTGGAAAGAATTCAGGGTTATTTCAATGATCGCTGAGCATGCTGAACACTGAAAGCCTACAACTGTTCTGCACCAACTTTCTGGTTTCTGTGCATTTGTTTTAAATCATGAGAAAACTGATATGAGCACAAAAGCACAGGAAAATGAAAGAAATAAGGTATCAGACAATGGCTTTCTCCCATAGACTGTGCCCCAGACTCTGCTAAGTACAGAAATTGCTTTGAGGGCTGGTCCTTTCAGCAGTCAAACTTTGCTCACTTCTCAAATCCTGCAAAGGTATGTGAAGAGAGTGAGCAGGGCTTTCTTGCATCCGCTGTCGTACACACCAACCTCTGCTGACGGCAGTGACCTGGTAAAGACTCTCTGTGAGGAGCAAACAGTGTTGCTGGGAGCTTAACTAATCAGCCACACACACAACTGAAAATTCTTGACAATTAAGATGCTGATAACATTCCCTGGAATCTAATCAAAATTACTGGCTATTCTTCTCTTTATCTTATTTACTTTACTTCTTCCTTTAGGAAAAAGGATATTAACACTAATGATCCCTTATATAAACTACATTGAAAATCATTTCCTAATTAAAAGGGAGACACAGTAGGTGTTTCTTGTTTGTGTGTGTGTGTTTTCTCCTATAAAACGACCTTCCTTTCTGGAGAGATTAAGGTACAGAAGAGACCTACATTTCTTCTGCCACAGTTTATTATCGATTCGGGCGATTTGTATGTAAAAGCCCGGAATTGAGTGGTGAAGAGCATCCCGACAGGTCTGGCCAGCAGGAGCGCTCTGTCCTTTATCCCACCCCCGCTTCACTCAAACACACAAAACACAGCACTGTGCAAAAACCGCACACAGACAATTCTTTATTCAAAAATGACCTTTGAAAACCTGTCATCCTCACACTGCCTGGTTTCCAGCTCCAGAAGGAAAAGAAGTCAAGAAGAAGAAAAGAAAAAAACACCATCAGACAAAGTGCAGAACTTGACAAAGGAGACAAGGATGCAATGTTTGAATTGGATACTTTGCGGTGGACGACAAGTGTCCTTAGAGACTAACAATTTGTCTTGAGAAGTAGTAGAAAGTGGGAGAAATGTAAAGAGAGGTTTTTCTCACACATGGGAAGGGAGCTTGAGGATCGGTGCTCCAAGCCCTAGAATGAAAACACCAATTTTAGTTATGGCCGATGGGTGTGGAAAGTTTACAAGACTTTGTTTAGGGCAGTCAACCCAAACTCTGAATGTGACATTAAAAGTCTCAAGTCACCTACAAAAAAAAAAAAGACTGGAAGACTCTAAGCCACCTGGAAAGTTGAGTTCGCATATGCTTATGTACCGTACCTTACAGTCAATGCCCCAGGGGATTTAAGGGGAGCCTCTGTCTTCACCAAGCCCCCCGGTCCCAGCAGCTGGGGTGGAGGTGGCCTTCTGCTGAAAGGGTCCTCCTGCTTTGTAAACCCTAGCAGTTTTCAAAGTGTAAGCTGAGAATTTTGGGGACCCTGAGATCCCTTTTGGTGGTCCATAAGGCCACAACTATATTAATAAGAATATTGACACATTATTTGCTTTTTAAAACTCGGTTGAAATTTACGCTAATAGAATAAGAGCAATGGTGGGTGAACCTGCTTTTGTCTCATTACAAATGGAGGGAGTGTCACAGACAGTTAAAAAAGCCAGTTCCACTTAAGACAGAGCAGTAGAATGATTCATTTCATTAAACCTGGACCCTGGAGGCGTATCTCTTCTTGCTCATTGTCTGTGTTAGGAGCTAGGAGGAGCACTGAAAGGCCTCCGCTGCCTGTGCGGTGTGATGCTTGTCTTGAGGAAAAGCACCTGTGTGACTGAGTTGCAAGCTGAACTAGATACTATTTTTTCTCATAAACACCATTTTTACTTGAAAGAATTATTTGGACTTAGATATTTGGCAGGCATTTTCTCAAGTAATGAATGAAATGAGACTGTGTTTTCAAGGAAAACAACTGGCAGGATTCGTTGTGTTTGTGGCCAAGGATAGAAATCTAGCTTTTCAGGTTAAAATCAGAATTTGGGAAAACTTGTATCCACCACTGTGAGCTTGGCAGCTTCTTGATATATAAAACCTTTCCGATGACATTGGTGTTGATATTAACTTATTAACAAGTGTTATTTTTTATATGGTAAAATAAAAGATGTCAACATTTAGAATATCTGCATAATTCAGTAACCCAATATTTCCCAAATGACCAAATACAATGCTACAAATTCATACAGGAGTAAAAAAAAAAAAATTCAATTAAAGTGCAAGTTGACCTTTGGATCGGAGTACTTAAATGTTCACTGATATGGTTTCAGATTTCTTACTACTTCTAAACTTTAAGAAATTACAAAAAAAAAATTACCACTTGTCAAGTTTTGGTATGGTATCAGAGAAGATCTACAAGTATCTAAAAAAGTTATTAATATTATTTCTCCTTTGCCAACTACTTTTCCATGTGAGGCTGAATTTTATTCCTGTATTTCCTTCAAAATAACATATTTCAAAGATGGAACATAGAAGCTGATATCAGAACCCAGCTCTCCTCTATTTAGATGAACATTAAAAAGATTTGCAAAAATGTAAGACAATGACACTTTACTCACCATTTTTTGGGGGGGAGGGTTTGGAAATATAGTTTTTTTTTATAAAATACATTACTGTTAACAATATAATAGATTTATTATTTTCATTTTTAAAAGAATTAATATTCTTAAAACTTCTCAGCTTTAATATCTTAAATATCAACAGCTATAATTCACATAAACAAAAGCTCGTGGGGGTCTTTAATACAATTTAATACTGTAAAGGGATCCTGAGTCCAAGGGTTTGAGAGTTGCTGGCCTAGGTACACCTGGCTCCACAGTTCAGCCCAGGCTCTCACTTCAAAGGATGTAGATCTGGCCCTATTCACAAACTCCTCATTCCTTTTTTTTTCCCTGTTGAGACTGCCCTAAGTTCTTAATGCCTGGTGTCACGTATAAGTTGTTAATTATGAATGATGACATTCTGTGTTTTTTAAACCAAATCTGAGGATAACACCAAACTTTACAAATGAATGCCACACAGCTAAAGCACATGAAAGACAGCATCAGAATCGCCCACTTAGCACAGACATACCCCTCCCAGGGAAAGGGCAAAGAATTGTTTCTTGAACAAAGTGATGCACACCATTGTTGGGACAGAGAAAAAAAGGAACACTATACCTAATCAAAACAGCAGGGGAAATGAGGCCAGCAACATGTAATTATTAGAAGCTGCATTTTAGCCAGAACATGGGTAGTTTCTGGTCAGAATGACGCAAAATAGGATTTATATCAGCAAAAATCTGGTCGTCACATCCTACCCACACTCACTACCTATCTACATACTCACATTTCTTCATGTCAGTTTACATGGTCCCTTTCTCTTAA